AAAAAAAAAAAAAAAAAAAAAGATGATTTCGGGCTATAGTTTCTGTTCACTCTTGGGGACAGCCCAGTGTGAATGTGTCCAGGAGGTCTATGCTTTGAGAGTTTGAAGTTCTGCTTTGTGTCTTTGCATCTTTCTGACATGATCCATCTACTTTGAACCCTAATCACAACCTTCAACAATGGCCAGGTCTTGTCTCCTCCTGGTTATTTCTTGTCTCAGGGCAGGAGAGCCCAGGTTCTAGGAGCTATTTAGTCCTGTCAGTCAGTACCTTCTCTGAGTCTTGGATTTTCTTCATTCCATTTTGGCCTGAAATGTTGTACCTGATTCCTCACAAATTCTTTAAGGCTCCACATAATACTCACCAAACTGCGATGTAGAACATGAACTTAACTACGATGTAGAACATGAACTTAACTGCGATGTAGAACATGAACTTAACTGCGATGTAGAACATGAACTTAACTGCGATGTAGAACATGAACTTAACTGGGATGCAGAACATGAACTTTTTGAACTGTGTTATGCTAATTGACTGAATTGACTTCAGAAACCATATTTTAAGTCTTCCTGAAGGGATTGTAAGCACTATTTTATTGAGGTAAAATTCACATCGTGCATACAGTTTCAGAGCAGGCCGCAAGATTTCCCTCAGACATTAACTGTAGAATTGGAGAACTGCACAATCACCCACACTCTCGACTCCTGCAAGTTTAGACAGAATTATATGTTCTGACATGCTCAGATTCACGGATGGAGCTCACTAAAAGCTGTTATACTCATGGTTGTAGTTTATTACAACAAGAAATACAGATACAAATCAGCCAAGGGGAGACCTCCATGGGGCAACATCCCGAGAGTCCCTAACATGGAGTTTCCAGTAACTTTCTCGTAGTGGAGCCATAGACTCCATTAACTCTCCTGGGACGTGTGTGATAGTATGCTTTCCAGAAGCATTCTTGTGTCGGGATCCTGTAGACTTGGTTGACTAACCTCAGCCTCTGTGGAAAGTCAAGTTGCTAATGCATGTTACAAAAACTCTAACATAGATCACATTGTTCAAGTCTCTGGTGTGCCCAAGGCCCCACATAAGTAGCTACAGCTTTCTCTGCTACTTTTCTCCAAAGATTGACAAAGTACCTCCTTGAAGCCAAGGGCAAAAGCTAGCTCTCTCAGAACAAAGTTAAATTCTTTACTACACAATGTGAGATGCACATATTTTAGTGTATAGAGCTGGTCAAGTTAATAATAATATAAATTTAAGGAGGATCAATTTACAACCAATAAAAACACTTACCTTAGTTGTCTGTAGGTTAATGGTTGAGTTAATGACAATCACAACCAAGGTATAGACCCTGCTTGTCATCCCCAAAACATTTCCTCATGGAACTGGACAGTCGTTCTTATTAAAAATCATTTTATTAGGGACTAGTAAAACTCATCACAATCTATACATCCATCCATTGTGTCAAGCACAGTTGTACATTTGTTGCCATCCTCATTCTCAAAACATTTGCTTTCTGCTTGAGCCCTTGGTATCAGCTCCTCATTGTTTCCCCTCCTCTCTGCTCCCCCTCCCTCATGAACCATTGATAATTTATAAATTATTATTTTTGTCATATCTTACACTGTCCGATGTCTCCCTTCATCTACTTTTCTGTTGTCCATCCCTCAGGGAGGAGGTTATATGTAGATCCTTGTAATTGGTTCCCCCTTTCCACCTGACCCTCCCTCCACCCTCCTGGTATC